ATGCTGCACATGGCTTCCCCGTGGCTTGTTTTATAGCTGGGGGTTTGCACCTTCTGACCCCTGGGTTTCTGTTTGACGGTCCTTGCTCTCTGTAGCTTTCACATTCCATTTTTCAAAATGGTCCGCTCCCTTGGCTCAGCTCAGTGTGTGGGGGGAGGTGATGATGCATGAGGAGCCATGCAGTGAGGCGGGGTTGGGGGGGAAGAGGGGAAAGGCTGTTGGGGGGAGAGGCAGTGAGGAGGGGACTGACAAGATGCTCTCCCCCCTCAGAGTTTGCTTTACTGCTAGCAAGGCCCCTAGCCCTGTTGTGAGGACCTCTCTGATTTTTTCACAGCCTCCAAAGATGTCTACTCCTTGAATTTTTGTATTATTTGACAGCTAATTATTAGATTTTGTATCATTTCCTTCTCAGACCCTTGGTCTCTATTCACATCCTCCATAGTGCCTGCCCAGTGCTTACAATTTTTCTCCACGCATATATACAATGGCGTTCTACTCAGCCATAAGGAAGATGAAACTGCCATTTGGGACAGTGCGGCTGGGTCTTTTTGTGCATGAATGAAGGAGCCTATAGGGGGCGCACCTGAGTGTCCGGTGCTGCTGAGGGTTCCGGAGATGTGTTCCCAATCCCAGGGTGGAAGGATGAGCTAGTGAGAGGACGTTGGCATTACCTCTTCTCCTCCAGTGCTGCGCGGTCACAGGGGCTTCAATGCCCTTGACTCCTTCCGCATGGATGCTAGCGGATGCTTGTGATTCAGGAAAATGCAGAGCTACCATTTGCCTCTGCCAGTCAGTACTGGTCCCTCGTAGCCATGGGAAACCAGCTAGTTGCTCTCCTAGAATTCAGAGTGTGGAGGGCTCCCCTCCCAACTCCCCATCCCCCAAACCCGTGAGTCTAGCAAAGTCAGTGTTCGAAGATGGTCCATCATATCTATTGGTACAATGCCTCTGCGTTATTTTTTAATGAAGTGTCAGTTATAGGGATAGTATCGTTGTGTCTAGGACAGTGGTTCCCCCAATCTAGCTGAGCATCCAAATCACTGAGGAGTTAAAAAAATTACAGATTCCTGAGCCTCACCTCTGATCACAGGATCAGAATTCCTGGCTGGGCCCCCCCAGAGAACCCTCACTGCTGACATAATTGGCAACCTGGCCTTGAAAATAATCCTTGGGTCATATGTGGGGGTGTGAGTGGGGGGTGGGGAGACATAGTCTGAAGATGCAAGAGGACTCTCTTTCTAACCATTTCAATTAGGGGGGTGCTGTGGTATAGAAATAGTGGAAGAAAGAAACCACACATTAGTGGGAAGGGCATTATTGTTCATCTTTGATCCTTTAAAGCTTCTTTCAATCAGTCCAGGGGGATTCTAACCTGGAATTTTCCTAACTCTAAGGATTGGAGAAGGTAATGGAAATTATTAAGCTATTAGGAAAAGACAGCTTTTTTTTTTTTTTTAAAGATATAATTTGCATCTTGTTCAATTCACCTACTTGAAGTGTATAATTGAATGGTTTTGGTATGATCACAGGTTGTGCAGCCCTCATCATCCCAAAAGGAAACCCCATATCCATTATAAATTATTTTTAATACTCAACAAGCTCTAACTTATTTTATAATAAAGCTCAATAGGCTAATAACAAGTTTTTTTTTGTGTTTTTTTTTTTTTTTGATTCAGGCTAGAATTACATCAGATAAGGGTGGTTCATGCTAAGCTTTGATTGCGAGCTACGTTATTTTTAAAGGAAAAATGGATTACTAAGTAAAGCCTGTTTGTGGGCCCGTCTCTCACATGAGAAGGCACCCAGGCTTACCCCTCTGCACTGCTCCATCCTGGTGGACTGAAGCACGGATGACTCAGTGTCATGTGATGACTGGTGACCAATGATGGAAGCCATGTTTTGGCCTGAGCAGGAAGTGAACTGTGTAATAGTCCTGCTCGGTGGGTGGAAGTGCTTTATTCTGCTCCAAACGGAAGAATGTAATTCAGCTTTGCCCATGTAGGTCCTCTTGAATGAAGCATCTTGAGTAAGTGACATTTCAAGGACTGCTAGTAGTGGAGCCTTGCTAAATTAATGAGTGTCACCTTACTCCATAGCTGGTAGCCCCGTTTTCGCTTTGGGAGTTTGGACTTGGGAATCGGAGCTGTGGGATTCCAGCTGAGGAAGGCAAGGAAGTCCCTGCTTTACTTGTAGGCCCTGTTGGGGAGGAGGAGATGCTGAGGCAGAGGGAGCCAGCATCTTTTCAGGGGCAGGTTCCTGCCCTCTAGTCCTGGCTCCCACGTGGTAGAGTCCTTTCCACAAACCAGGGAAGCAGCTAGAACTGAACCATTTCAGAATTAAACCATTCCTCGCTTTAATTACCCCCAGCTGCCATCCTTGGTTTTGAAGCTACGCTCCTGTAGGTTTCCCTTGACCCCTATTTCCATCAACCTGAAGTTCTGCCCATGGACCACCCAGCTATTTCACACCCAGAGCCATGATTCCAGGAAGACAACCATTTCACAAAGCATCCCTTCCCCTGGGAATTTTGGGAATTAATTGCTTTGTTTATTCAATTTTCTTCAAGTAAAATGGTTTGCACACTTCTCACTGGCATGCTTTAATAAAAAAAAATTAAGCCCCAAAGACAAGCACATGCATACAAAACCAGTACAACACCTGTGCGAGCCCACCAGGCCCTCACACCATGACTGAAGGAATGCTTTGGGTGGTTCTGCCTTGGTGGGCTACACAGTTGGCGGATTACCCAAGTCGTGGCCTTTCTTCTCTCCCTTTCCTGTTGCATGGATTTGGCTTCTTCCTTTGGTTATTAGCTCTTCGCCCAGAGGGTGGAAGGACTTGAACTCCAAGGATGATTTCCATTTTCTAGCTGCAGTTCATGAAGGACCATGATTACTCCGACTTCCACTTGCATTCATCAGAAAATGGTTTGTTTGGGCAGGAAAAGGGGCTGTTTATGAGTTAGTGTATTCCATTCCCTGTTTATCTACCTCAATCCTCGGTTCTCACACGTCAGTGCGCAAAAGATGGGACCAAGTACATCCCTGGGCCCTGCTCCCACAGATTCAGTTCCTGTGGGACGTGGACTAGGGTTTTGCTTTCAGCAAGTTGTGCCCAGGTCCTTCTGATCCAGATTAATTAGGGGCCAACCTCGAGAAACACAGTCCCCGAATTGGCACTTTGCTGTTCACATACCAGCCCCGCCTTCTCTGTGGTCACATGGTTGGCAGCTACCAAGGTGCAGTTACAGCGTGTACAGTTTCCAAGGCAACGTGCATTTTGTCACTTCTACCTACCGGGCTAGGTGGATGGAAGAGGGACCACAGGGAGGCCGGGTAGCCTGTGACCTCCAGAGGAGTGTCCCTGAAGTGCCTTGTGGTGACTGGGTACATACCATCCATCCGCGGACCTTGCTGAGCGGCCACAGCAGCAAAGAGAGCGAACTCATTGGGAGCCACGAGGTGGACTCGAGGAGGGACTTGTACTCCCCCCTCTGTGTCCGCAAAACACACTCCCCCCTCTGCTTGCACTCCCCCCTCTGTGTCCGCAGAACACACTCCCCCCTCTGCTTGCACTCCCCCCTCTGTGTCTGCAGAACAGTCTGGTCCCGCATGGTCAGGGCGGTGGAGGAACGAGAGAACCTTGCAAAGCTTTAGAGAGACAGTGGCCAGCGGTCGTGGACATTTGTCCGCCTTTTCTCGGTTCTCCAGTGGACAGTGCTGGGAGGTTTGCCGGCCTCCCTGTGGGCTGGCGGCTTGAAGTGGCATTCGTAGAGCGCTCACGCCCGCGTGGACAGGGACTGGCACGCAGATTTCCTGCCTTTTTTACCTGAACGCAGAGGTTCCGCACGCTGTGCATTTTCCACGTTTAGTAAAGCCCGAGCCATATGTTAGCACATTATTCTGCTTCTCGGTTTTAGTTTTAAAGTGAGAAGGCGGCGGGAAAAGCGTGGGGCCTGGGCCTGAGTTCCAGCACAAGCGGCCTCGGAGTTTCCCGACTTCTCCGAGGCTCTGCTTCTGGAGAACCAGGGCCTTAGACCCATCCATTGCCCTAACTTTTGGGGTGACAACCCCCTGCAGAGCCTCGAAGGAACACTGTTTTCTTCCCTGAAAAAGTATGTACTTAAGAAAATGAAATCACTTTCCAGGGCCACAGATCCTCTGAAATAAGGGGACTTTTAAGACTGTTTCAGCTCCAACTGGGAATGGCTGGGCCCCACAAGGCCCGGGAGGGAGTCTTTCTCCTTGTTTCCGTGGCCTCCTGAGAGGCGAGGTATGTGCTGAGGGCGGTTTTGTTGATCCTGGCATTTTCCGCTGACTGCCCTGTGAGGGGGGAACCACTCGGAGGAAAATAAGCAGGGAATGTGTGGCATCCGGGGTATGAACCACTGCGTCCTTATCGGTCTGCGCTGTGGTGGCCCCTCGACAGGCCGTGGACGGTGCAGTGGTCACACGGAGGGTGCGGAGGGATGGGGTCAGCCTAAGATACTGTGTTTCGTACAATGACAGCTGAGCAGTTAGAGTTCTCCTCTTAATGTTTGGAAAGTTGGGTAACATGTCAGGATTGGGTGCACTTGAAAATGTCAGAAGGTTCCAGGGAGTAGTCTGTCATGGGTGGAAACATGTTCTTTCCCACGTCTTAGCTCTGACTGCCTCCCTAACTCAGCCCTAAGCTCCTGTGCATGGTACAAAGTTGTAGTTCCCACAAGAGGGAGTATCCCCTCCAGAGGGAGTATCCCTTCAAGAGAGTATCCCCTCAGGAGGGAGTATCCCTTCAGGTGGGAGTATCCCTTCAGGTGGGAGTATCTTCTCAGGAGGGAGTTTCCCCTCAGGAGGGAGTATCCCCTCAGGGAGGGAGTATCCCTTCAGGGAGGGAGTATCCACTTAAGAGGGAGTGCCCGTGGGGTTATTTGGAAACCTCGATCCTTGACCTCTTTCTTTCCCTCTCTCCTAGGTGTTGAGCAGTCTCCCTTAGAGCTTTAGAAGCTGAATGGACTGAACATGAAGAGCTTGAAAGCCAAGTTCAGGAAGAGCGACGTAAGTACATGGGGAGGCACACACGCTCTGGAGGGACCGGGAGGTCAGAAACAGCCTCCACTCCTACTGCTCAGGTGCAGGGCCGGGCAGCCACAGCCAGTGTCCCCGGCCCAGCTCCGGTGGCTTTCGGGAATGGCCAGCTCTAGGTTCCTTGCTGTGTGTGTGTACAGCGTTCCAAAAGGACATTTTAAATCTCTGGGGGCTGGGCCTAGGAAAGAAAGGAACGGATTGCACATCTTGAGGAAAGAAATCAGTAACAACCTCGGCATTTCTAAAGTCCCTCAAATCCGATTTGTAGAGGAAGCTGGTCTTAGGAGGTGGTTGAAGAATTACATCTGAGCACGGTTCGTGGTGAGCCTTCTGGACTTCCTGTCAGGGCTTTTATGGTAAAAACAATATCTGGTGCTGCTTTACCTTCACTCCCCCTGAATTCCTGGGCTTCTTACTCATTTGTTATTCATCGTAAGCGCCTCTGGATAGGAGGAGGTCGCTGTGATGTCAGCGTTGTGAAACAGCTCCCGGAGGAGAAAATGGAGAGATAGAGCATAGCAGCGGCGTATGCACAATGCTGTTTCAACAGGAGGTTGCCTCGCAAACCCTGCTGACACCCCAGCTTATTGGAGCTGCATTCCAGATGCTGCCGGCAGAACTGTGTGGGAGGAACTCATGGGAGGGTTTTGCTGGAATCCTAGCTACGTCATTTTCGTGATGGGCTTTCGTGGCTATCCTTTCACATCAGGTAATTAAAGGTGAACCTGGGTTTTATTGCTTTGCCGTGAATTCTGACAGCTCGGCCCAGCCACACACTTTTTTTTGTGATTAGTAGAGGCTGTGACTTTTATGGCTAACACACACACACACACACACACACACACACACACACACACACACACACCTCCCCTTGGCTGAAGCTTATCTCCCGAGGTTGCATCATGGCAGTAACTTACTGCCCTGATAAGACCTAAACCCGAGGAGATGCTCGTGGGATGATTGTGGAACCTTATCTTGCTTGAAGGAGGTCAGGCCTAGAAAGGTTTTTCAGGGAGAAGCTGGCCTCCTCCTCCCCTTCTTCCTCGGCTAACCGGCACTCAGAATGTGAAGCATCTGGGGCAGAGTCATCCAGCCAGCCTTTGGCCAGGGACAGCCTCGGTCATTGACTTCCTTCTCTCCCACCACCCCACCCTGAAACTCCCGCAGCCCCCGCCTCTGCTGGCCACACAACCCTGGAGCCTATAGATCGCCTATAGATTATCTGGCCTTCTGCTCAGAAGGAAGGGGCACTTAAATGGAAAATGCTGCCCAGCTGAGCGGAAATGGATTTGAAAAACGTGTGGCCAGGTTAGCACATGTCTTTCCCATCCCGGGAGAGTCACACCGGCTGAGGGTGCTTGAGCAAAGTTGGATGGGTCTGGAGTCCCATGTGCCTGCATGGAGGCAGGGGGCAGTGAGACACACACACTTTGGGTTGAAACAATGAAAACCTGTGGCTGCAGGGAGGGTGTCGCTGGACTCTAGTTCTTAAATGAAAACGGACCTCTTCCCGTGATAACATGAGATCTGGTGATGAGACTGTGAGCTCCCGGTTTGGCGGCAGAAGGCCCGAGCACTTGGCAGGGCGCACTGAGGGGAAACGTGAGTGGAGCTAGCTCCGGGGAGGGAGAGAAGAAACTGGTGTGATGGGGCCAGAAGGTAGCCAGGGGCTCCCCAAATGCACCCCAGATTGCATCCCAGAGTCACTCTATGATGCAGCCAGAGGTGGGGATGCAAACCAGAGGGAAAGCCCTTCCAGACCCCGGTTTGCCCCTGAGCCATGTACGTGGCCATGGCCACGAAGCATCAGAGTGGCTGTACGGGGGGGAGGGGGTCCTCTGCCGGCTCTTAGGGGATCTCATCTAACCTGGCCGTGACCTCTCGTAGTGGGTGTTCTCGTTGGGCTCACTCTGCAGATGAAGCAGTGGAGGCCGGGGAGGCCCAGGAACTGGTCTGGCTTCTTGGAGTTTTACGTTAGACACACGACCAGTGGTGGCTTTTGTGACCAAGTAGCCAGGTTTCCAGAGCCCAGGTTCCCAGGAAGAACAAATCTGGCTGGAGACTGGATTTTACGAAACAGGATAATCCAGGCCAGTGGTCGGCAAACTGCGGCTCGCGAGCCACCTGTGGCTCTTTGGCCCCTTGAGTGTGGCTCTTCCACAAAATACCACGGCCTGGGTGAGTCTATGTTGAAGAAGTGGCATTAGAAGAAGTTTACGTCTAAAAATCTTGGCTCTCCAAAGTAATGTCAATCATTGTATTGCCATTTGGCTCTGTGGAAGGATGAGTTTGCCAACCACTGAGTTAGGTGGTCTGGGAAAGCGACTTGGGACCTGGCTGTGTGGCCTTGGGCAAGTCTCTTGCCTTTGCTGAACCTCAAGTTCTTCCTCTGAAAAGTAGAGAAAATATTAGCCTTAAAAAGGTGTTTCATGACAACTTTTTAAGGCTAATATTTTCTCTTTGAAAAAAAAGAAAAGAAGCGGTTGTTGTGAAGGGCGAATGTCCTCATGTATGTAAAACACACACCTTAGGACCTGGCGGTCAGGAGCTGCTTGGCGAATATTTATCCTTTTCTCTTAGCCAGAAACCCATGATAAAAAGGGGGATCGGGAAAGCATCTAAGGTCTGGGGGTGGGGGTTGGGGTCGAATCATCTGGTACCAGTTGCTGCCCCTGAAGATCCGGGAAGCTGAGAGCTGGGGGTGGCCGGGGAGGGAGGCTTGCTTCTCCGTGGGCGCCTTTCGGTCTTCCTGTATGTGCACATACGTGTGAGCACTGGTTACAGGAAAGGAAACGTCCAGCAGTTCACGTGCAGTTCCGTGAGCCCAGTGGTAATCCTCACCCGGAGCGAGTGGTCTCTCCCACAGAGTGAACCCGAACCGTCTGCCGTCAGACCTTCTGCTCGCCTCCGTGTGCGCTCAGCGGGGGCTGCAGAAAGGGCTCCTCGCGTTGGGGGGGGAGGGCATAGGAAGAAGGGACGGCAGCTCCTGCTCGTGCTTTCAGAAAGAAGGCAGGGGACCCCCTGAGATCGAGTCCCAGCCCGCCTGTGCCTGGCGTCGCAGCCTGGCCGGCTCGTGGCGCCCAGAGCAAAGCGCAGGAGGGAGGGAGGACACACGGGGCCCAGAGGAGCCCGTGGGGGGCAGGGGGCGTCCGGTCCCTCGGCTGCTCCAGGCCCGTCGTGCGGAGAGCTGCCATCGCAGGGTGCTTTCTGGAGCAGCTGCCTCCGACGACCTCCCCCCGAGGGGCAGGCTGACGGAGTGTGACAGGGGAAGGACCTCGGTGCTGTGGACCGTGGGTACAATGTCATGGTCTGGTTGCTTTAACCCCTGAGCATACTGGGGAGCCTGCAGATAACGCCCCGAAGAGCGGTCCGAGGCACACACGGGTCCCTGTCCCAGGCACTGCCTTTCCCAGGCCCTCTATGACTTCACCTCAGCAGCCGTGACCGAGGGTGAGCCATGGAGAGAAGGCGGGAGGAGTGAGAAGCATGGCTCTTGCCTGCGGGAGCTCCCAAAGGGCAGTGGGAGGGGAGCAGCACATGGAGGAATGACTAAAGCAGCATGCAGACGGTGTGGAATGCAGGTGTTAAAGGGACCGTCTGGATGGGAGAGGCCAGCGGTTCAGTTGTGGGGCCTCCACGGTCAGTGCTGTGGGATTTCAGAGAAGGACGAGTCCCTGGGCATTGGAGGGCCAGGGAGCTTTCGGAGGGTGAGTGGGGGAGGGGAGGGCATGGAGCCAGCCATGTAGCTCCGTGGTGATGCCTTAGAATTCTGCCCTTGGCGTGGCCATACTTCAGGGACCCCGGAGCGTGCCCAGGGCCTGGCTCCGAGTCTTCTAACAAGAACGCTAGGAATGCCGAAGCCGGTTTGGCTCAGCGGTAGAGCATCGGTCTGCAGATGAAAGGTCCCAGGTTCGATTCCGGTCAGGGGCATGTACATTGGTTGCGGGCACATCCCCGGTAGGAAGTGTGCAAGAGGCAGCTGGTCGATGTTTCTCTCTCATCAACTTTTCTAGCTCTCTATCCCTCTCCCTTCCTCTCTGTAAAAAAATCAATAAAATATATATTTAAAAAAAAAACAGAAAACGCTAGGAATATTTCATCCTCGTTTTAAGAGGGGGCGCACTTGACTTTGGTGCTTATACAATGAGCACAGAGTCCTAAATCACCGTCACTTATGTCTTTGACGGCCAGTTAGAGAGGGAGCTCTTTGCCTCTTTAAATGTCCGCAGCAGGCTGTCCGTGGCTCCATGGAAAACGAGCTGTCAGCATGGGCAGCGGGGCCAAGTGGGCCGGGCTTTCCCGTCGCCAATAAAACGCCCGGCTTCTGGAATTTCTCTGTAAACGCCAGCTTTTGGTGCCGCGAGGGAAATGGGTGGGGGTTGAAATGGGGGAAACGGGGTGGAAAGATCTTCATCACAGATCTTGAGATGGGCCTCAGACACGACCGAGGCTTTCGGAGTTGACTTTGTGGGCGTGCGCGTTTAATTGGATGGAAGATTTGTTCCCAATTATGTTTTCCGTTGTAATAGGGAAGCATCGGGCATTCCTTTAAAAAAAAAAAAAAAAAAAAATCAAAGCAGCCAGTTAAAAATGGCTGGCTCCGTGAGAGATGGAATTGATGGTGATTTTATTTTACAGAGAGGAAGGGAGAGGGATAGAGACTTAGAAACATCGATGAGAGAGAAACATCAACCAGCTGCCTCCTGCACACCCCCTACAGGGGATGTGCCCGCAACCAAAGTGCATGCCCTTGACCGGAACCGAACCTGGGACCCTTCAGTCCGCAGGCCGACGCTCTATCCATTGAGCCATGCCAGTCAGGGCTGATGGTATTCTTAATGCAGCAGCCATTAAGGGGTGCAGCCTTCAGCCGAGACATGCACACGCCCCGTAGACCCCGAAGAACCAGACGCATCCTGCTCGGTCAGGTGCTTGAACTCCCTGCCTGTAGAGGGAGCAGCTCTCATGAA